GGTGTAAGGTCTTTTTAACAAGAAGTGTTAAAAATGTTCATGGTCTGGTGTTAAAGCCGGGATCAAGAGAGATCTGGGTCTATGTGAAAGGCCACATCACTGCAATTCAGTAAGGAGTCTCACTATCAATTCCAGTAAGACTGGGTAGATAACAGAGAAATGTACAGCTTGGGAAATGAGAAAAGGATCCAGTAAATTTACTGCAGAAAAAGTTAGATAAACAGCCTTCGGAGGAGAGCCTTTACAGAATGAGTTGGCATTTTTAGTTTCTTTACAATTCTATAGCTGTTTATATCATGAAGTATGGTTGGTGAAAACATGTACCCAGGCTGCTGGTTTCATGAAGAAACAAGGCTGGGGCTGGGTGCACAAAGCAATAGCTTTGAGATTCCCCAACGAGGTCTCTAAGCGCTACTATTAATGTGAGTATTATGGAAGGGCAGAATTGGAAATTTTTCATTTCCCTTACAAGATACATGGAGGGCTCATTTGCCTTTGATAGCTTTCAGAATATGCAGATGCTCTGGACAACAAGAAGGAATTATTTTCTAATGGGTAAGAATCTAATCTCAACTGAAGTCAATCAGAATGACTCTCTCTGGTCTGTATGGCTACCGAATCAGGCTCTAAATATCCTAACCTTTCACTTCCTCTTATAATTTGTATAGTGTAATTATGGTAGCTTCTGTAGTGTGCTCAATGCTATATAAAAACACAGGCAAATAGTTTGTCCATCAGTTCAAAACTGAAGCGTCTAACAAACTACCTGTGGGAAGATCACTGAGATTAAGATAGCATGCGCATCACAAACTTAATCCTAAAAAATACTGTGACACTGCTATCCGCTAAGAAAATACTACTATTTTAATGTAGCATAATCTTTCATTAAAATCTTTGCCTAAAATCTATCTGGTTGGCCTGATCTTTCATCTATACAAACTGCATTGGTGTGTGGGGTGTCAGAGCAGGAGACAGACCTGGCTACATACAGGTTTTGTCCTTCTTCTGCATTCTCATGGGGGTCTTGCAAGAAGGTAGGCCTAACTTGAAAACTGGGGTCTCAGTCTCCCTGTCCCCCAAGTGCTCAATCTGCCACATGAGTCAAGCCACCAGAGTCTCCCCAGTCCATTGGGAAAGAAGCCAGCAGAGAGAGCCAAGGTGTGTACTAACCATCAGGTTTTCATGCAGTGACCACAAGCTGACATTTGGATAATGCTGTTCTTTATCTTAATATCCCAACTGCCAGAGCTGATGGTAGCAAATCATTCCTAGGCTTTATCTATAGCAGAATTTACCATTCTTCTCTGACTTAAGACATTGTTTTTTGTAGCAAGAACCCCGAACAACGGAGATGAGCTCTTCATGTTGCATGTGTAATCAAGCTGCAGGGGGAACTTAGAAGTGAGTTTTGGAGGTATGCCTTATTAGTCTGTAACACCTGTACACCTGTAACAGCCCTAAACGAACAAACTTACCGAAGAAACAGCTCTGGGGAGAATGGCAGGGGGGCTGGAAAGACAGTAGGAGAATAGCTATAGTTTGATTCATGGATAAAGAGTAGTGAAGCAGCTAGAAGAATAGGTCTTATGCTCTGACTGGACAATGCCTAAGAATTTAGCTTTGATTGTAAGCAAAAAACATAACTGGTGGTTGAAAGGAACAAGTGGGCTAGGAGCTTTGCATCTAGTAATATAGTTCAGGCAAAATTCTGTCCCTGAGTGAGGCTGAGGAATCTGTTGTCTGGGGATACGGAAGTACAAGCAGCTGTACTCGGTACAGGCTGTAGATATAGTGGGAGAGAAGGTCTGGTCTCCATTTCCTTGCTTTGCACTTTCTGCTTTGACGAAAATTTGGGGGCTGAGGTGTACATGGCGTTTAGTAGATAAAGCATACAGAACAATTACAGGCTGTACAGGAACACGCAGTAATGTATCTGTTCTTAAATTGTAGGACAGCACTGAACAGTCTGCATACTGTGATTAGTCAAATTTATTGCTTCTGACTTAAAATCTTTTTGGCTGCCTAAATTGTTTCATTCATCTCTGCATACAAGAGGAAGGCTGGTAGCCTAGAAGCCTCATCAGTACTAATAAAGCTTCCTTCTACTCTGCTTTGCAATTATCTTTGCCTTTACTCTTGATGTGCAGATATTCACGTAAAGCAGATCTCTTCACAACATGAACACTTTAAAAAGGATGCTCTCAATGCCGCTTGGGATAAATTTGACCTTTTTTTCCCTCTTTAAATGTTTTTGAAATGCATTTAGTTCACTGTATTTTCTTCCATGCTCAAACAGGTGATTCAGCATTATTTTACAGGGCTAACACTGATGAGGACCCAGAGCATAACACTGTGCATGTGTACCTCAAACTTAACAGAGAAGAAAATCTGTCAGTAAGTCAACAGGTTTTAATTTCATGTTTTCTGTGAGGAGGCGAATCTGTTCAGTAAGGTCTCTGACCAGCAAGTGTGTAATTCCCCTTTTACCTTGTGGAAGGTACTAAACCTCTTCCAGCATGGGACTTAGCCATGAATTACCTTTCCACAGCAGCTGTGTTCCAGGAGTAGCCCCTCCTGAGCTTATGTGGTAATGGTCTTGCCTTCATGCAGCAACTCTGGGATCTGTGAACTCTGAGAAACCACTGCCATTTTAATTTAATCAAGAAAAAAATTCAGGCACATCCTTCTCCCGTGCAAGACCACTTTTAAGGGGCCGTCCCTGTAGGAAATGCCATTTGTCTCACAACTTTCATCCTGCACCATGTGGACTTCTCCCAAAAATAGAGACCCGATTAACTCCTTTTCACACAAACTGCCACTAAACACAGTGATGTGTGCTTGCTGGGATGAAATACAGGATAATTGGGGATTTCAATAAATAGAAAAGTTGCTACGAGCCATTCAATATGGGCTTGATTTCATAATTTCAGCCTAGCATGGATTTGGGACTTAAAGACCTTCCTCATTACAGCATGTTATAATTACATGGGTAGTAGAAGTCAAAAAACACTCACGTATATGGCAAAATATAGTTACTGATGTATTTCAAGCTCTTGTATGAATCCAAATTATCAGAAGGTAACAGCTGCTTTTGTCTCAATTGAAAAGAAAAAGACTATCAATACATAACAACATTTTTTTTTAATTAGAACTATTGGCCTCCACACCGTCTTTGTTATGCTTTAAAGCTCTTTGTTAGGGAAAAATAAGTCACAAATGAAAATATATTAAATTTTATAGTAATAAGCATATTGAAAGTATTTGTCCTAAATAAGAATTTAGGATAGGGTACATAACTATATAATCATTACACATTAAGATAACATACAAAATAAAGTCAGATAAGGTGGAGGTGATGAATAATCACTGTAAATAGCTTCTTCCACTAAAATCCAAGACACTAATCTTGATTTTCTTGACAATTTATTACACTTTCTTCATTAATCTTATTCAAATACACAGGGAAGGTAGTGACTGTCCTCTCACAGGAGCACAGCAACACATGGCACACAGAACACATCACTGCCTACTGTGGATTTTATCAGTGCCAGCTTTGCTCCACAGAAGGGCAATACAAGGCGTGTAATACAGCTTTTCTGTATTGGATAAATCTGGCACTGTAGAAGCCAGCAGTAGTCCACAATACCTGATACTGAAAAACCACTTTTGGGTGTCCTTATCATATTTAATGAAAAATTGTGGTTGAACAACAATGGCATGAATAGTTACGTAGATTTTACTTATATGGAATATAAAAGCAGTGCCACCTGGAAGTGAGCTTTAAATCACATATGACCCTGAAATAAAATATGGTAAACAAATTACGTTAGAGAAAGCTCAACAGCTTCTACTTGAAGTTTCCATGGGGAAGTAGCTGTTCAGTTGATCGGTCACCTTAAAGAAAATCCTAAATGAAGGAATTATACATTAACATCCTCAAACAGTAGTTGTCTGTAAATGGAAATGCCAGCATGGAAAATCTGATTAACTTCCCTGGGGTCAAAGGCAAGGTAATTTAAAACAATATAAAATGAAAATTTCCAAACTAGGATGAAAAAAAGTAACAAAGAGAAAGGCTACTAATAATTCAGTTTTTTCAACAGACAGTATTTAGAACATCAAAACTTTTAGTCAATGCAACACATAGTACAAAGAAAATTTCTTGCTATATGAAATAAGGCACTAAATTTCAAGATAACAAAATACTTTTACAATTTCATCTCGGTTCCCATCTGCAGACATCCATAGGCTTCTAATTCCTTCATGTGCATAGAAAGATATGCCTGGTGTCTCTGCTTCTATACCACATTTATCATGCACTGGGTTTTATCAAAATATTTAAAGTAAGGGATAATGAGGCTGCATTTTCAAAACACTGCAACTACTAGTTTGGTTTTGCAAATGACATATCCATGCATGTAATCAGCACACGGAGTCACAATTGCATTTCAAAACCCAACCACTTGGCACTGCAAAATGTACTGTGCCCCCCAAAAGTGAAAAAAACTCACCAACCTCCCCCGCCTCATAACCCCCGACTACCAAAAATACCAATATGTAATCTTGGAGCAACTGATTGGCCACATAAGAATTATGAGAATCAGCTACATAGCTCAGGAATAATTTCCCTTCTGTCTATTCCCTTCTGAGACATTCTGTTTGAGGAAAAATTAACTATTCAGGCCTCCGTGTATGTAGCACCCGCTCTTTGAAAACCCAGCTCATTATCTTTAAAAAAAACCAAACCCAGGATCACAAATCTTTTCTATTCTTATATCCACTTGTAACACAATATTGAAACAGTTTTTTTTAATCTTTCTGTCACAAAAGCATAATCCAAATGTGATATTCAACTGTTGCATACAATCATAAGAATCATGTGGTCAATAAAAATCAAGAAAGGTGGAAAATGAGCCCCAGTACACAACATACAGAACACCAAAACATTCCCCTCCCTCCTAAAAGAGCATCTATGAAATATGGCATATTTCAACACTCACGGCTATCGTAGCATATATTGCCCAGGGCACGTCCTGTTTGAAGCAATACTTCCTGGTCTTTGCAGTTTAAGAGCTGCACCAAAGGAGGGATTAACCCAGCATCCACACAGGGGTTCCGCATAAATTCTGCAAATAATGCAAAGCCTGTTAAAGCAAGCTGGCTATTTTCAGTTTCATACATTTTAGCTACACTGGCATTGCAACTGGGCCTTTTGTGAGAATAAACATATGCATAGACAAACGATTTAAGTTCTCATGCAAGTTTCTGGAAGTCAGGATTTGGGCTTGTGTTCTTTTCATTATTTGTTAATTTAGAAGGAATTAAGAGTATTTAATTGACTTCCATGGAAACTACTTTAACATAGCTCAGACTAAGCATGTTTTTAGCATCGTAAAGAAGCGCTGAAAAGAACAGTGAATTCACGACCTTCTTCTGCACGCCAACAAATTTAACATAAATTGAAATCACTAAATAACACAAAAGATAACTTAAAACTAGTATTCATACTACAAAATGAGCAGCATTTTTACTCTTTATTCCCTTAATTGGAAGTCCTGAAAAGCTTTTGCTTTAAAAAAAAAAATTAAAAAAAAAAAAAGGAATTAAAGATAAGTAACAGGTTCTTTATTTGGAAGGTAAGGAAAGGAAATGAAAAAGAAAGAAAGAGAAATATGAGAGAGATGATGCGAGCCCAAAGACTTGCACCTCTCCACAGTCTAACTGATGCCCACCATGGGAGGAAAGCTTGAGGACCCATCCACTGGGAAACTCTCTGCCTTTCTCTCCTTCCTGTTATGTCCCTCAGTCACAGAGAACCAAAGTATTATTCCACATCCGTGCAGGTTATAGAGAATGATCCTGGTGCTGGACAGATAAAGGACTGCTCTCCAGAAGGAGCTATGGTTACATTCAGCAGGCACTGTGCTGCACATCTTACAAGGGAAGTTTACAGAAGCAACCCCCTGATACACCAATAGCGTTACTGAATAGATTACTATAGAGCACCCTTCAGAGATGTAGCATGGTAACAGGCAAAAGGTTAATATGTTTTTGATTTGCTGTGAATTGCAAATTATGTCTCTTCCTGATCCTACACTACGTTGGATCTTCCAAAACCAGCTTACCTTTGTGTTACTCAGTCATTTATGCAACAGCATGAACCAGGGTATATGATTCCCACAAAAAGAGATGAAAAAGTTTTTCTGTTTCTGGATCAATAGAACCCCTCACGCCAAAACTCAAAGATTTCATACAATGTTCAAAGTACATATACATCTTCTTAAATACTGCCTTTGTTGCACCTATTACAATGTTCTTTGATGTCTCTGTAGCTACAAAATGTTCTACCTTTTGTAGTTAATCTTGCAGTGTTGTTTTAGCTAAAGAAATAATTGCCATAGAGGTAAGCAATCCTCAAGTGACAAACTTTGATATATCAACAAGTAGTTGAAGTAGAATCAGCACTATTTATGCACTAGCACAGGTCCAACAGAAGATAGTAGTTAGCACAACTGACCACCTTCCTAAGATACTGTTAACATTCTAAAACTGTAGACAGATGCTGTGCTGAAGTAGAATCAGCACTATTTATGCACTAGCACAGGTCCAACAGAAGATAGTAGTTAGCACAACTGACCACCTTCCTAAGATACTGTAACATTTTAAAACTGTAGACAGGTGCTGTGCTGCGATAAATGGCGATCGTATCCATCATAATGAACAGAACAAATATCAGATACATCTGTTCATTAAAATTGGTCTTGCCATGTCCTTTTTATCTATTTCTTTCTTATCACCCACTTTCTTTTTCATCTCAGTGTTTATATACTGAATATATTATGTTCCTACCTCTGTCTTCTCTGTCCTCTCAGTCTCTTCCTCTCTTAATTGCCTATAAAAACTCTTTTCCGTTCCTCAGCTTCTCCCTGCATCACTGTCTTTTACACTCACTAATTTACCATAGTCTGTACATCATCAAAGTCAGATTTTTTTTTTTTTCCCCCCCCACTAATTTACCATAGTCTGTACATCATCAAAGTCAGATATTTTTTTTTCCCCCCCAACTCCTAGTCTATGACAGGAAATGGAACTTGCTCTCCCCTAGAAGACTGAGATTGAGAGGTCTCAGTCTGTTCTGTTGTAGTTTAGGTTCTTGCTCATGTGGTGAAAAGGAGTAAGAAACCCTTCCTCCACCCTCCCTCCATTTGGAGTGAGCCCATAGTCTGTACATCATCAAAGTCAGATATTTTTTTTTCCCCCCCAACTCCTAGTCTATGACAGGAAATGGAACTTGCTCTCCCCTAGAAGACTGAGATTGAGAGGTCTCAGTCTGTTCTGTTGTAGTTTAGGTTCTTGCTCATGTGGTGAAAAGGAGTAAGAAACCCTTCCTCCACCCTCCCTCCATTTGGAGTGAGCAGAAGCTTTCAGTCTCCCATTCAGCAACAAAATAATCAGGCAATATACTGAGCGAACTTTTATTTATCAAGGTAATGTAAGGGCAAGAAGTAACAGAAATGGAGACAGCAACAAAAATGTGGTAACTGCAACTATATTTGCAGGTGATACTACATAGAAGTAAACAGAAGAAAGAGAAGGTAATCAAGAACAGAGTCATTTAGAAGGTTTCCTCTAAACTGGTGGGGAAATGAAGCAGATCCTTGGAAGGGAACAGTGAAGAATCACTTAAGAAGTTAGGAGGAGAACCATGAGGACAGAGTAACATAAACCAAAGGAAGACAAGATTTTGAAAGAGAAATGTAATTGTGTTGTAGGATTACAGATTGTGAAGATGATGTTCTCATTCCTACACCTCTCAAAGAAGTGCAGACTAAAGACCTCAAGAAGAAGGTTTGAAAGGCCCACAGTGGGGAGAGAAACTCTACATAGCAAGTGCCTTCGGTATGCTCACAGTTGAAAGGGAAATGGCTGTAGCTGGAGAGACAAGAGTGACTAAAGGGAGCTGTGTGTGCTTGGATATTTCAAATGGGAGAGATGAACATGAGCTCATGTTGGGAGGAAGAAGAATCCTGTGAGCTGGAGATGTGAAACAGAGCAAGAACACAAAGAGATGAAAAGAAGGAGATGAAACATGACAAAACCACTGGAGCAAGTAGAGTGATTAGATGTGACCAGATGTGTGTGTGTGTGTGTGTGGATGAGGGGTGTCCTGGTTTTGGCTGGGGCAGAGTTAACTTTCTTCATAGTAGGTAGGTAAGAGGCTGTTTTGGATTTGTGCGGAGGAGAAGGCTGATCACATACTGATGTTTATAGTTGCTGACATGACAGTCAAGGACTTTTTAGCTTCTCACACTTTGCCAGTATCTGCAAGTGCAGGAAAAGCTAGGGGGAGCACAGCCCACAATAACTAGCTTAGGATTTGACCTCAGGTTTAGGACCAAGACCCAAACTGGCCAGTGATACATTCCATATCATGCACGTCATGCCTAGTAGATAGATGAGGGGCTATCTGGAAGCTCTCTGTCTCTACTGAAAATAAGAGTATATACAAATATACAAATGTGTGATGCACAGTGATACTGGTCACCACCCAATGACCAAGGCTCAGCCTGTTCCCAGCTAACGATCCTGGAGCAGGGAGAGTCCCGAAACTGCACTCCCATAAAGGAGATAACAGCCCAAGTGTCCCAGACCAAGAGCTGACCGAGGGAGGAGTAGGCCCTGGGGTAAGGAACCAAGCAGAGTGAGATGACCTGGAGCAGAAGCAATCCAGAACAACAAGGGACCTGGAACAAAAAGGGACAAGCTTCTGGAGGGTCCTCACCTATATACTGGGCATGACGTGTATGTTATAGAATAGACTATTGGCCACTTTGGGTCTCAGTCCAGAACCTAAGAACAAATCCCAGGCTAGTAATTGGGGCTGTGCTCCCTCCCACCTTCACCTGTCTGCGGACAGCAGAGAAGCTGAAACAACTTGGGCTGTCCTGGCAACAACTATAAACATCCCTGTTATCAGCTTTCTTCTGAGCACAAATCCAAAACACAGCCTCTTGCTAGCTACTATGAAGAAAGTTAAATCTGTCTCAGCTTAACCCAGGACATCCTCTCTCTTTCGGTTGGCTGTCGGTCTCCCTCTTGGACTCTCGGGCTTGGGCTTCCAGGAGTGCTCTGGGATTGTTAGCCAGGAATAGGCTGGGCCTTGGTCACTGGGTGGTAAGCAGCTGCACTGTGTATCAGTCATTTGTATATTTGTACATTATTATTTTTATTATTATTATCATTACTATTGTCATTAAGGGAATGGAGCATCTCCCTGCTGAGGAAAGGCTGAGGGAGCTGGGTCTCTAGCCCGGAAAAGAGGAGACTGAGGGGTGACCTAATCAATGTTTATAAATATGTAAAGGGTGAGTGTCAGGAGGATGGAGCCAGGCTCTTCTCTGTGACATCCAGTGATAGGACAAGGGGCAATGGGTTCAAGCTGGAACATAGGAGGTTCCGCTTGAGTATAAGGAAAAACTTCTTTACAGTGAGGGTGACAGAGCACTGGAACAGGCTGCCCAGAGAGGTTGTGGAGTCTCCTTCTCTGGAGACATTCAAAGCCCGCCTGGATGCGTTCCTGTGTGATCTGATCTAGGTGTTTCTGCTCTGGCAGGGGGATTGGACTAGATGATCTTTCAAGGTCCCTTCCAATCTCTAACATTCTGTGATTGTGATTATTATTTTCAATTTTATTGTAGTTTAGTTATTAAGTTGTTCTTATCTCAACCCACAAGTCTCTTTTCCCTTTATCCCTTTAATTCGCTCCCCCATCCCTGGGAGGTGGGAGGGTGAGCAAGCGGCCGTGTGGTGTTTTACTACTGCTAGCTGGGTCAAACCACGACAAGGGGAATGGGAAAGGAACACAAGAGATGGGGAAAAAAAATATGCTCTTTTATCAGCAAAGCCCAGAGTCAGAGGCACTACTCCCAGCTCTGCCAGTGCTGCATGGCATGACCATAGGGAAATCAGTTTAACTGCCTGGATTTAATGCCTACCTACTATCTGCAGGATGTTGATAACACAAATTTCTCAAAGTGCCCTGAAGCTTGTTCAAAAAAGGTGCAATATAAGCATGAAACACTTGTATTATTATGTAAGAGGACAAAGAAAACAACAGAATTCAAATGAGTTGTTTCCTGCTATCCTGCTTAAGTAACTATTTCAACAGAGTTAGAATCTAAAGAGAAAAACCCAGCTCATCTCAGTCTTGAAAGCACTGGGCACCTGATATAATTTCTGAATGCCTTCACTTTAACCTTGGCTGCCAGAGGTCCCAGTTTCACCTGCTAATAACTCTAAGAAAAAAGCTATTTTGTATGATGAACCAGGTAAAATGCCAGCTCTCCCGAAGAGTGTACTCAGAAAAGCAATTTAAAAGCTGGCAGGGAAAAGAATACATTATAAACTATTCAGAGATTTCATGTATTAATTCATTATTTGAAAGATACTGGTTAAAATGCTCTGTAAGAGAATCTGTCATGAAACAACACACAGTAATCAGTTAAGCTATTGTGAATGATGTTTTTATGCTTAACTTTCCCCCTTCTGAGGTAGGAGCTAAAAGGACTAACTGTGTGGATACACAGTTGACTGCAACAATCTAAATATACTTATTAATTTATTACAGAATCACACAGAATCACAGAATGTTAGAGATTGGAAGGGACCTCGAAAGATCATCTAGTCCAATCCCCCTGCCGGAGCAGGACACCTAGATCAGATCACACAGGAACGCATCCAGGCGGGCTTTGAATGTCTCCAGAGAAGGAGACTCCACAACCTCTCTGGGCAGCCTGTTCCAGTGCTCTGTCACCCTCACTGTAAAGAAGTTTTTCCTTTACAGTACAGAAAAAGCATGTGATATGGTTGCATGAATCTCTATCACTCTGAAACACTTCTAAGTTTCATTTTCTATGTTTACATTTTTTACTGGCTATTTATCGAAATAATTTTAAAACTTAAAAACTAACAAAGTATATCTTCTTTTCTGAACATTGTTTCTGAATATCCATATATAGCATTGTCTCAAAATCGGTGAATCGGGTGGAGGAGGTCACACAGTGGCTATCAGTAAGAAGCTGTGGTATGGTGATTCCAAAGAAGAGGTGGAAAGTGTATTTATATAATTTAATCTCTTTCTTGAATTTTGTGAGTTTTCACCACTAAGCTAAGTGTACTTAAACACAATTGCAAAAATCATTCTTGACTAATCTCTACAATGCTTCCTGAGATCAATATAACAATCTATTATCCCTTAACCACAAGTATACATACTGCTGTTGTAACCATGTGCACTATGTATAACTGGATGCACAGATGATGCACACCTTTTTTTTTTTTTTTTCGGATTGGTATTTCATAAAGCCAGTGGCATGCTATTTCTGCCCAGTAAATTATACACTTGGTTGTCTTAAAAACTAAATAGCATGAAAGTAAGGGCTTAAAAACTTCCAGCAGCCAAATGCTATTTTGATAGTATTAAAAGCAGAGAAACAAAATTTGACAAAACAAAACCAAAAAGAGTGAAAGGAAGGGATATGAAAGGTGTCTAATCTACAAAATGAAAACATAAATGAAGTAAAACATACTGACAAGTGAGGTGAAAAACTGAAGATGTTCCAGCAGAAAAGTTCTTGTAGAAAACCTCACCATTTCTGGCTACTTCTGCTATGATGTTAGCTACTTTTGCTGTGCAGGAAGATTGTGGCGTCAACAGACTTGCGAACACCTGAAGAACTCCACTTTTCTGGATTTTTTCACTTGTCTCCGTATCTGAAAAATACATCACACAAAAATGACTTGTGCATCAGCTTGCTTTGGGGAAGAAAAGAAAGAAAAGCAGAAGAGAAGTCTTCTCAAAGGTAATTATTAAAGTAGTTATTTTCCCATAGAAGAAGCCAACTACTGTTTTAGTGATTCTATTTATGTGCTCACAGAACTTAATACTTTGCCATTCCTCATCAGTTGATCTTTATAAAGTGACTCCGTTACAGAAGTAAATACAGACACATACTCATGCATACACAGGGAAACTACTGGAGAGACTGGTAGAAAAACTAAAGGTCGTGGAGTGATATGCAGCAGCCTAAAGTACTATGTAAAAATCAAGGAATGTTACTCTGAAGTGACGAATTATTGGAAACATTCACGGAATGATGAGGGAAAGTCCTTACAGCTGAGCGCACAGTTTAACACAGCGTAGGAGTGAGAAACTGGAGAAGAGGGAGAGTTAAGGAGATCCTGGTTTAGGCTTCTCTTACACTCAGCTTGAATATTTTCTATGTTACCCTGCTAAGCTACAATAGCTCCAGTATAGTCTCAGTAGAAGGGAAAGGGAAAAATAAGTTTGTTGTAGTAGAGATGAAAGATTTGTGACAAAACCTTTCCTCTTTCTGCCTGTAGCAGAGAGGAATTGTGCAGCTGCTCCATACCAGGGCCCCACCCAGCACTGCTGGCCCACAGCTCTGTAACAAACTGAAAATTAACGTTGATTCAATCGCCATTAAAGGTAAGGTACTAGATGCTAAAACATACTCTGCTAATGCTTTCAAATAACAGCATATTTAAGTGGAATATTAGTGTGCCACACAATATGATCAGACGGCAGCTATCGCTTTGGATAGCGGCACAACTCCTTAAGCCATTCATAACAAAAGTTACTTGCCTTATCCAAAGACGGCGGTGAGATGCTCTAATTGATGACTTTTGCAAAGCAAAACAAATCCATCTGAAGGACAGTCTACTGTTTGACAACCCTGTCTTGCAAGGGCATTTTTAAGCACTACAACACGCACAAACCCCCTCACATCACTTAAAAGAATAGCTTTACAGTAAGTGCAAGTTAAAATTAAAAAAACCGCTAGAGCTTGCCACCAATGGTGAGAAACAGATGTCAACATTTCAGAGTTGAGAAGTCAGGCCTCTGAACACCACTTTCTGCAGCTTTTCTTTTCTCCTGTACTCTGGTGTAAGAGCTACCAAGACAGGCTTGGCAGCAATGGCAGTAATCAATGGGTTTTGGTTTTAAATAGTATCTTTCAAATCTGGGAGTAAAGGGAGGGATATAATACACTCCCGCACCGCAAAGGAGGAGCCTTAATCTGATCTGGTAGTTTGTTCAAAACAATGTTCTCTGTCTTCCCCCTAAACAAGTATACGCATATCTTTGTACACCACCACTAGCTAGTCTTCTAGAGCCGCAGTTCGCAAGCACTCTTTACCCGTGCAGCTCCAGGCCAACCCCTGCTGCCCCGAGCATGGGAGAGAGCCGCTGAGCTATGCTGAACAGAAGCCAGCACAAGCCTGGCCGAGGTGACTCCTGTGGGTTTTGTGGTTTACATACAGTAGGTACATGCTTCTGGCTGGGAGCCAGTGATGCCTGGGTGACAGAAAATGGACTAAAAGGCGAGAACTTCAAGTCGAGATTGCCGTTATGGCTCTCTATTTCTGTATTCAATTCCATGTTGGGATGTTGGTCTTTGGCTAGGACTACTCATCTACAAGATGGCAGTGATGACATTTAATTATAAACAGAGTAGGTATAAACTGAAGTTCGATTAATTTCAAAGTATCCTGCATAAATGCTAATGATTATTGACCTGTTCGCAATCTAGTTAATTGCAATTTTTGAAACACACTGAGAAACCCTATCAGAAGAGATAATGTAAAGGAGCTTATGGCTTATTTGGAAGCTTTTATCAGGTCTGACATATAGCATATACTTAGTAGATATATTCTCCCATGGATATATACAGATGAAAGAAAAGTTTGAATTCATAAAAAATCACGTCAGGACTAAAGACCGGTCCAGACACCTTAGATGTCTATTAGGGAAGAGATCCTCCTCTTCCTTTAAGTTCAAAATTGAAAGTACAGAATTCAAAATTGAAAACGCAGATATCTGTGTACCTGTATTATTAGGCAGGAGACATTAATGCCTCTCCTCCTGCCATGCTGCTGAGATATACAGCGTCCAGTCTTATTTTTATGATCCGTAGTTTGATGGACTCGTTACTGTGCAAAGCATAAATTATGTAAATAGAACAAAATATATCCTGCAAGAAGTGGGAAAAATATAATTAAATGCTTCTCTAGGCCAAGTGTGTGTAGCAGATATGCACTGATTTATTTTATTAAGATAAGCAAGTGAGCACCAATAAAAGCACAGGGCTTAACAGACCTGCCAGAAATTGGGAAATCAGCTAGCTGGGATCACATAGATGAAAACACACCATTGAGTTGTTTCTTACTCTTAACCAGTACAGGAGGCACGCCTGCATATACTCTCCCCTTCAAACCAACACCCCACTGTAACAAGTAACAATGCCATGGGGCACTTCAGCCTGTCTACTCCAAGGCTGTCTAAGCCCTGCTCTTCCTCTGGAGAACATTTACAATTTACACTTGGTGGGATATACAAATTAATCCAGTGCCAAAAGAGAGATATGCCAGTATGACATTAAATCCTTGCAGGTAGTTTATAGTATATTCTCCATATAAGGCATCATAAGGGAATGTGCCAATAAAATTACTGTTACATCCTCATGCACATTACTCTAAGTTGTCCTGTTTTGAATCTGCAGAATAAATCCATTTTTTTCAGGGATACTATGTTAATCACATTAAAGTTTTAATAAAGATAGTAGGGAAAAAAAATGTGCTGAAATATACAAATTAATTTCTTATATGTAATTGGCAGAGATTTTAGTTATAGAAAATTGATCTTTTTGGTGGGCTTTTGAAATGCTTCCACAAGGAAGGGTATTTTAATTGGAACAAGATGTCCTACATATAAACCTAAAATTGTCTTGTTAAATCTAGCATTTTTGCTCAGTATTTTTATATTCTTTTAAAGGAGGAGGGCTTAACAGGCAAAGGATGCACCGGGCTGCCCTGCAGAAATTGGGAAGTCCAAACGAAGATCTTCAGCCACCCGTCACTTGTCTGAGGATTCAACTGTACCCTCAGTTAAGGTAGTAGCGTTGAAATATATGGCTGTAGATGAAAATACCAAGCTGGAGGTTTTGAAGATGATGTCAGCACAGCTGTAGCTATACAAGCAGTTTGGCTGTTTCTCGGAAGTGCCCAAATGAGATAATTACTTCATGGCCACTCGAAAAACATAAGCTAAGAGTCCTGTGTGTGACTCTGTGCACATGGATGTGTGCAGTTCTAGACCCTATTCTGCAGGATGCACTGAAGGTATAACTGTGCTAGTAAAGAACTGCAGCTGCAGACAGCATTGGAAAGGAAAAAACTGCCCTAAATCAAGCCACGTTTTTCTTCTCCTTTGTTTTTTTCCACTTGCAACTAGAGAGTGGGATGGTTGTTAGGGCAGGGGCTTTAGGTCACATGGATTTAGACTGCACGTCCACTAAGGCCCATGCACCTCTGTCTCTTTTTGCTCAGCTTCATATAACATGAGTCCTGTAGAAAAGCATAAAAGGCAGAGGGACATAGACAGGGACAGAAAGGAGGGAAGAAGTGTGTGTGGTGTTATTGTTTTGGACAGGACGATGAAAGGTCATGTTTATGCAGCAGTATCTTCACTGTGATTGTAAAAACCACGATTTGGTTCTCCTCCTGCAGAACCTGAGACTGGAAAATCCCACACCAATGTTGCCAAAGGGCTGGTACCCATACCACTGCCTGGGCCTAGGAGAAATAGTTTGGAGTTTGCTGACAATTAGAAATTGCTAATGGCTTTAGCATAGTCAGTCCTCAAAGGCTAGAGAAGGCCTGCCTGGCTTCCTGGCTGTGTACGTACGCATGAAAGAAGTATTACTTGTTAAGGATATAAATCTGCTGCATGCTCTCTTCATTTTGAGCTTCCTTTTATATTATTAGAGGCTAAATTATTTTGAAACCTTATTTCAGTTGTCATCTTTTGAATTGCTGTTTCAATGTATGGTCATTTCTAGTTGGAGCAAATAAAAGCAAATGTTTCTCTAGAAGCAAGAAAGACCTAGGCAAAATATCCACCACATAATCTCCTCCCATGTTTTCTATAATGGAGAAAAAGGAAATTATAGCCAACATTAACCACACACTAAAAAGTTGGCTTACACTTACCATTTTAATTCCCTTAGCAGAACTGCATGCCCTTTCATATCTGTTCAATTTGTCTCTTAAGAAAATCTAACAACCTAAGCAGCCTGACATTAGGGTGCCACACCACAAAATCCTTTTGCTATGTGTGATGTCGGGATTTCAATTGCTTTGTTTTAAAGCCTGATTTTCAGTCTGCATGCAGAAACCCACCTGTTGAGCACCCGCTGCCCCCTATTTTACAGCAAAGAAACTGTAGGACTGTGATAATGCAGCTTTAGAAACAGCCCTCTTGCACGCAATATAATACAGTGACGTGCCACGGCAGCGTAATTGGGGGAAAAAACTTCTAAGGTTAAACCTGCAGCTTTAGATGTCTCTTTATATCACTAGCTATCAAGACAAAGAGTGTGGCAGATCACACAGTGCCAAAATCTTATTAATGTCATAGCTGGGTGATTAAAATGTCAATATCCTAGAGCTTTTCATGATTTTTGCAGTGCCTAAAGTCAGAATAATAAAGGGTGTGGGCAGGAAATTCTTTAATGCAATAGATCAGAGCTGGAGAGCTGAGCACCGTGGCTACCAGACTGCTTAATTAAGTAGCAGAAATCACGACACGAAAAAAATCCAACGAGTGTCTCAAATTAAATTCTACACTCTCCCCCCTCTCGTGAAATTTCATTCTTCTCTATTTCACTCTTTTCTCTTCTCTGCATCATTTT